AGATACAGGCTAACAGGATGGATGGGAAAACAGGATCAATCCTTCTACTGCATACAAGAAACACAATTCAATATCAAAGATAGATATTACTTCAGAGTATAGTACTGGAAAAAGATTTTCCAAGCAAATGACCCAAGAAGCAAGCTGGGGTAACTATTCTAACATCTAACAAAACAGACTTCAACCCCTGCTCCCAAAAAATTTTTTTTAAAAAGAGATGGGGAAGGATACTTATACTCATTAAAGAAAAGTATCCACCAAGATGATATTTTAATTGTTAACATCTATGCCCCAAACACCAGGGCACCCACATTTGTAAAACAAATATTACTAAAGGTTAAATCACATATTGACCATCAAACATTGATAATGGGAGATTCAATACCTCACTCTGACCAACAGGCAGATCAGAAAATAGCATTCCTCTTTCTGCTGCATCCAAGAAACACCGGACCACCATCAGAAACAGACATCACCTTGGTAAACAGCATGAAAAGACCAGCTCCTCACCAGACAAGCTTCTTGCAGTAGATGAGAACTCACAGACCCACAACTGGGTGGTGTATGGAAAATGAAAGTGTAGAGCACTCAGCCCTCAGTGTGGTGTCGTTATCAAGCACCCTCTCAAAGCTCGGGGATATATGTGGAAGAGGGTGCAGAAAGATTATAAAAACCCAAGGAAACAGTTTTCAAGACATGACAGGACTGATGCAGCACCTGAATCACAGAGACTGTGGCAGCATGCACAGCACCTGCACAAATTCAACCCAGACAGGGTTCCAGCAATGAGAGGAAGAAGTGGTCATGGGGTGCCACTCCTTACCGTGAAGCTATTTGCAATTGTTATCCTCTGGTAAAGGAAAAAAGGGACACTTCAAGGTAGGGTCCGTGCCCAGGAGCAGTTGGCTGATTTAAGTAAATTCTGTGTCTGTTTGTTTGTTTTGTGGACTTTTGTTTCATTTTGTTTTGCTTGGATTTCTTTTTGTCTTATTGGTCTTTTGCTTGTTTGTTAAAATTTTTTTGTGTTCTTATGGTTTTATTTATTCATTCCTTTTTTGAGAAAGAACATTAAGTTGGGTGGGTAGGTAAGTAGGTAAGATCTGGGAGGATTTGGGGAGTGGAAATATGATCAAAATATATTGTATGAAAAATCAATTTAAATAAAAATGACATTGAAAGAATAACTAAAGCACAAAAGATAAATTTGCCTTTCACTTAATTCTGGACCTTCAGCCAAGAACAGGCATGAGGCATGGGCAGGCCCATCGGTGTGGATTTGGACTTCTAGCTGAGAATAAATGCACAAAACAACTCACACTTCCACACTGGCTGGATGTGAGTGATGATTCATTTAACCCTGGAGCTCTCAGCATGAGTTAAGGGGCAAGAGATTGTTAATGCATTGAATTAAGTAACATTAAGAAGTTTTGAAGGTAACTGGGAGCTAGAAAGGAATTTAAACCACAGATCTTTGGTTTGGTTCTTTGCCCCTCCATTGTAAAACCTCCCAGGGTACCACTCCCTGGGGTTTTTTTCTCCCTTACTGGGTAGTACTAGATACATATTTTTATTGTTCATCATCTCACCACTACAGAAACTTCAAGAAATCAAACATTTTATTTCACTGCTACATACATTGCAAGTGCCTAGAACAGAAGCTAGTCCACTGAAAGAATTTACTCAGCATTTTCTAAGTAAATAAATAAGGATAGAAATCATTGGAACTTTCAAGACTAATCTCCCATGTAGCCATAATTGCCTATGAACATTTAGTCACTTGAACTCACAAGTTCACATTGACATTAAAGGAAGTGAGTTGAGTTTTATGACTGGTGTTCAAAGGGGCTTTCACTGATACACACTACAAATAGTTTTTCATGATTGATAATTGAATTAAGATATCATATAAATTTATCATTAATTGTAAAATGTTTATGTTTTAAAATCACCTTAAGCCGGGCGGTGGTGGCGCACGCCTTTAATCCCAGCACTCGGGAGGCAGAGGCAGGCGGATCTCTGTGAGTTCGAGGCCAGGCTGGACCGACAGCCTCCAAAACAATACAGAGAAACCCTGTCTCGAAAAACCAAAAAAAAATCACCTTAAGATGATAAAAAACATCATGAAGACAGTTTTTAGCCCAGTGATACCTAATGTTCCCAACTTACAGAATGGAGGTGCCTTGTCAGATAGGGTCATGTGAAGCCATTTATATTTGAATTTCCAATATTTCCCTCAGGGTGAGGTACCCAAGTTACATATGTTGAAGTTAAATGTGCTCTATTTTTTAATCTTGCTTTTTCCTAGCCCTCAAATTTGATGTTAAATAAATGTTTTCAAATTCTTTACCTGAAAACTATAAGCAATATCTTGACAATTGGGCTATGAAATTTGCTTAAAATTTAAAATCAATGCATTTAGATCAGGACCTAAGTTATAGTAATTTCTGAATAAATGTAAATTATTCTTGTTGATGTTTAGTGGGCATGGTTCCTCTGCTTTATTCTCTCTTCTATGCTCTATATTCTGAAGATCAATGAAGAGCAGTTCTCCCTCTGACAAATAGTCTGTAGAACTTAGAATTAAGTAGCACAGCTAATGAATCTCATAATAAATGACTCTTGTGTTTCCATTTTCCCCATGCCTATGTTTTTTTCTGATTTAAATGAGCTGAGAACTAAAGCAAATATCTAACATTGCAACAGTAGAAAGACCATTGTGGTAAAGAGAGCTTGGATGTTAAATAGACCTGCTGGGTAGGAGTCTAGTCGTCCAGTCCCTATATTAATTGTTTTCCACCTTGTATGATGTCACCAATCTTGTTCCCAAGCTTACAAGCTTGAGAACAACATAATTATGAGATTTCACAAGAAATTTCCCTAATGTTTCCATGTTATAAATGTGCTACTATGGCCACCTTTGATTACAGCATTATAGTACAGTACTGCCAAAGATGCATTCTATTCATATGATGTACCATGGAGCAGATAGCAGAAGCTCAGAGGTGTAACTGATCATGTATATCTTCCACAGAAGTCCTGTGCTGTCTACAATAAATGCACTCTGCAAGTTTGTATGCAAATCAAATGACTGCAAACAGAATAGTGAAAGAGCCACCAAGGGAGCCCTAGCTACTTAAATAAATCCCCCATGACTCCTCAAATCTGAGAATCTTTTTGTAATGCAAAGTATTTATCTTTTTGCTTAAAAATAAGTTTCTTGAGCAATTATTTGTGTTTTTTTAATTGAAGCACACCTTTACTAGCTTAAAACACTAGTAAACTTGGTACTGCTGTGAAGTGACGCTCCCACTTACTGAGCTCACTGTTATGCCAAGGACTAGACATAGAAATGCTGGACTATTGATTCTCTGTGACTCATTGAGTCTCATATCCTAAAGAGTTCAGTGGACTGGGTCATCCATTCAGGAAGAGACTTCTCCCTTTATGTTAATTCATTCCTGTGCTCAGCCATATTCTATTTAAAAAGGTTAGACAACATAGCTCTAAACTACTCTGGGTAGCTTTATAGGTTGTTTTCATTTCACAAGCTTTCCCTGGGTTCCCACTGTCATTTTGTTTTGTTTTGGGTTTTGTTGTTGTTTTTGCCCTATTAAGGCACATCAGAATGTGTAGTCACAAATCACCTATATATTTACATGTTTAACATCTGTCTCCCTCACTAAACTATCAGCATTAGTGATGTTATTTTTGCTCACTGCTGCTGTTTACTCAGTGTTTATTATATTGCCTGGCACATTGTAACTATTTAGCCATTATCAGGTGAGAGAACAAATAAGCTAGAAAATCAGTAAATAGCAGTTATCCAGTTCCCATTTACACAGTCTTTTAGAAGGCTCTTACTTGACTAAGCGTTGGGATCTCTCTCTAACCTTCTTCCATTTCCCAACTTTCTCCATTTGACTTAGTATCATCGGCTTCTTGCTGATCCATGAACACTTAACTCCTTCTCTTGCTTCTTCTGACTAGGACATCTTTCCTGTATTGGTGTGACATCTGTTCATCCTTACAATCAGTTCCATACACAAAACATCTCCCTAGAGACTGTTCTGTTCTCCTTGTGTGCAGTAAGCCCATGTGTCCCATTAGCTTCTGCTACTGCACATTGTGCTCATCTTTGAACTGAAAATATCTATGCATTTATTGACTATCTTGGCATTTAAATATGTTACTTTGAATAGTGTGGACAGAGGAAGAAACTTTTTCATTTTAATTTCTAATTTAAAAATTTTCCAATAACTGGGCATGATTGCACACGCCTTTAATCCTAAGACTTGAGAGGCAGAGGCAGGTGGATCTCTGTTGAGCACCAGGCTGTTGTAGACTACAAGGACAGTTTCAGGACAGCAGGGTTGTTACACAGAGAAACCCTGTCTCAAAACAAACAACAACAAAAGAATTGTCCCCAATAATTGTTTGCAAACATAAAAAGTTAATTTGATATTACCTTATTGTAACTTTACAAAGTTCTTTAGCCATAATATCTGTATTCTTACTTATTTGCATGTCAAGTTTAAATTTTTCTATAATATCAAAGAATTTATCTTTAGTGACCTTAAAACATATGAATAATAAAATAGAATCACCCATAGCCCAATACACAGATGTATTTGTTGAGTCTCAAACTAAATCACTTTGGTTCTAGGACTGATGATATTTCTTCTATGATGATAAAAAGTATTCTAAGCTATGATTTCCATACTTTTAAGTATTTATTATACTTCATTTGATTTTGTTTCACCTTCTGTGAAACTTCTATTGCTAATACAAATAGAATGATATAATAAATATTAAATGAAAATGTAGTGTACTTGAACATTTTATGAAATTCTAACATTTCAAAGAATAACAAATAAGTTCAAAAAGACATATCAGGAGATTGCATTGCTTTGGTGAAGAGATAGTCAGATTTTATAAACAGCATGTTTCACTTTAAATTTTTCTGAGATTACTTTGAAATTTTTGTCTCTTTGGCCTCTTAGGTATTTGACTATGATTTTGGACTGCAAGATGACTTTATGGGCTCAGCCTTCCTCGATCTCACACAATTGGAGTTAAACAGGTAACTCAAAGTTGTAACATTGCTATGTCCCATTACAGACTTGGCCTGTGACGTCAGAAACCCTACTCAGTACAGGACAGATTCCTGTTGATGTCCTCTTGTCACCATCCGGGCATCTGCCAACTCATCACCCTTTCTTCCTTACCCATGGGCTCTCAAAATCTTCCCTGACTTCCTCTTTCAACAGCAACTATATTCTTAAAAATATTATTGGTTACCTTCCTGGTCCCCTAGCATTATGATAGGAGAGAAAGTATACATTCTTTAAACTCACATGGTTTAGTTGGAATTTGGCATAAAGACTGTAGTTACTGATTAACAAGCAAGGTGCTACATGCTTTGTCTTAAAAACAGCAAATCTCTCATCACTTAAATCATGATAGAACTGACTTTAGCATCACAATTTACCATCACCAGATCTCCAGGGTACCGAGTAGTAGAGTTAGGTTGGTTATATTTGCTTAGTTTCATTATCAGTCCTTGAGGAGCTCCAAAGTTATATTATCATTTCTAACATTACTCAATCCCTGACAATGGGCATGGAGTTTTCAAAATACATTTTGTCATAGGAACTAAAAACTGACTAGAAAGTAGAAAGAAAAATAGGCTTTGAAATGAAGTCTTTGATAGCTGCAAATGGAATTCCTTTCTTGAATGATCACATTACATCAGGTGTCAGGAGAAACAGGAAAGTAGTGTCATAGGCTGGACTACTATTTCCCTTTTGTATGAATACGGATGAATAGATGAATGTACATGGCAGAACCTCTATGCATGCTATGGTAAGATGACTTTGAGCATAGAACCAGCTTAGTGGTCTTCCTGCTGATTGATCCTCTGATAGTTTTTGCATCAGGGGAAACAAAGGGGCAGCCTTTGCTGTCTTCCTACAGTTTGTAGATCCTAACATTGGCTATACCTGAGGATAGAGCTTAGGAGACTGCTGGTTCTCTCCCTTTAGAGGAAGTGCTCTGAGTGGGGGTGTCTGTATTCTGTTATCATGAGCACTGATGCAAACTGAAATGGACTTTGATGTTCTCTTCAAAGGCTACAATTACATATTCTGTAAACCACTGCATTAATTATATGCAAATTATAAGACTTAAAGCATACATTTCTCTTGTTCCTTATTAAAAATAAATCATTGGTGAAAAATAATTTTAAATGAAGAATTACGGGATTAAAGAGCCTTAAAGAGATTATAAGCAAACATTTCATGTGTGCTTAGGTATGTTGCTTATTTTGTGTAATCATTATCCACTACCACCCTAAGGAATTGAGCATATCAGATAACCATTTTATGATGTCTTTAGTATGCTGTTTCAGTTTGTGTACAATTCAAGGATGTCAAAATGGATATTAATGACAGCCATGTAAATGTGTGCTGCTATAGATGTATTGGGGTATCTCCTTAAAGAAAATAATAATCTAGTTTCATTCTTCTACATGTAGCTATCCAGCTTGACCCTCCAGACAAAAACCCAGTATAGAGGGGAAGGCAGATGAGAAACTTGGAACTTAAACATATGGTTAATTTGGTATGTCAGTTGTTTTCCACCAGCTCTATGAGAGTTTATTGGTTAATAACTTGATAGCAATTAATGTATAGAATAATATATTCCTTATTAATGTGGACTTTTTTGTTTTTTAAAATTTATTTTTTAAATTTCATTTTACATTCCAATCACAGTTTTCCCTACAAACCTTTCTCCCGCTCCCCTCACCTCACCCCAGCCCCCTCACTCTTCCCAAAGGGTAAGACCTCCCATGAGGAGTCACCTAAGTCTGGCACATTAAGTTGGGGGCAGGATCAAGTCCCTCTCCCCTGCATTAAGACTGAGTGTGGCATCAGACCATAGGGAATGAGCTCCAAAAAGCCAGCACATGTGCCAGGATAGATCCTGGTCTTACTGCCAGGGGATCATCAGATAGCCTAAGCTTTACAACTGTCTCCCACATACTGAGAGCCTAGTTGGGTCCCATGGAGGCTTCACAACTGTCGGTCTAGAATTATTAACTTGCATCTTAATGTTTATTTTACTGTAGATATTTTCATTTTGGGGGGAATTATTGAAACTAAATGACATAAATATTTTATTTTACTTTGGTTATGCAAAACAGGGTTTCTCTGTGGCAGCCCTGGTTGTCCTGGAACTGACTTTGTAGACCAGGCTGGCCTCCAGCTCACAGAGAACCTCCTGCATCTGCCTCCTGAGTTCTGGGATTAAAGGTGTGCTTTAGACTTGATCTAAAATTTTTAAAATGAAAGGAAATAATAAGAATCTCATAAAGCAACTGTAAATGTTCCCAAATGATGCTTTTAACTGTGAAGAAACTGTAGATTTCATGAGTTCATCTGTCAATTGTTGTCCCTAATTCTTGACACATGGAGTCCTATTCACAAAGTCTTTTCCTGCATCTGTATCATGTAGTGTCCTGTCCATGCTTTCTTCTAACAGTTTCAGGCTTCATGTTTAAGTCTTTGATGACTTTGGACTTAGTACAAGGTGAGAGATACAGATCTAATTTCATTCTTCTGAATGTGGACATCCAGTTTTCCCAACAACATTTCTTGAAGATGCTTTTTCTCCAGTGTACGATTTTGATGATTTTATCAACTATTAAGTGACTGAAGTTATATGTGCTCATATTTAGCTCTTCAATTTTGTTCCATTGGTCTATATGCCCGTCTAGGTGGTAATACCATATTGTATTTATATTGTGACTGTGTAACATATCTTAAGATCTGGAATCGTGATCACTCTAGCATTAATGAAAAAATTTGATTATTTTATATGTATTCCCTATATGGAAAGGAATCCAATCAAATTTCAGCAACAAATATGTACGTACTGCATAAATATACTATGATACCAAATTCTCTTTTGTTTAGAAAGACAAAGTTGATATTGGGATACAGCTTAGACAGTAAAATGTTTGTACAAGCATAAAGACATGAGTTTTGATCTCTAGAATCCATGAAGCAAGTTGGCCACAGTGATACACAACTATAATGCTAGAAACAGGTAGATTCCTGGATCCCATGGGCCAGCAAGCCTAGACAAGTTGGTGCGAGGCCTCACTGGTGGTCCAATTAGAGACCTTGGCTCAAAAGCTTAAGGTGGAAGTGATTAAGGAAGATGCCCATCATCAAGCCCTGGCCTCTACTACACTCACAATTGTATCCCAGCTCCATCGCTACCCTGCTGACACACATGTACACAGTCACACGAGCATGTACATATATGCATGAAGAAGTAATAAAGACCACTTGTTGTTATAAAACTGTAATGATTACTTAAAGCTAAATGAATGTTGAAAACAATTTGCAGACAGATTGCCTATGATTTAATTTAAATCTCTGATATGACAAAATAATACACATTTCCACATGTCACACCTTAACTTAATGTACTAAACATCATGTGACAAAGTACCTGGTAACATGAATATTACATTAAAGACTATCTCTGTTCTATAACCCTGGGTGTGTGAGAAAATCATTTGGCAGGGCACTTATAGAGAGACTTCCAATCCACTCCTCTCTCCCAGTTCTAATCTCCACCACTCATCCACAGATTCTTCAGAGGAGAACTTAAAGCTTCAGAGGTGAACTTCAAGAATAAATAATCTCTCTCTCTCTCTCTCTCTCTCTCTCTCTCTCTCTCTCTCTCTCTCTCTCTACACACACACACACACACACACACACACACACACACAAAACAGAAAACTGATAAATAAGACTGAAATTTTTTGCTTGGGCCATATTTAACCTAAATGTCTATTCTCCATATCAGAACTAAACTGTACTGAAATTGAAGTTCTGTGAGCACAGGAATTCCCTTGGTTTTGATCTCTGGTTTTTACTAACAACCAGAGCACCATGAGATACATAATATGTGCTCAGTGCTCTCTTTGTGAGCACAACAAAAATTGGATGAACAAGAAAATAAGAAAAGATGCTTTATTGCCAAGCATCCCATGATTCTTTTGTTTGGTGTTCTATATTCTGCAGAAACTGGTTTGTGGCAACCCCTGAGCCCTGTCTGTTCAGGGTTGATTGCAATAGGTAAACTGGTTTGTGGTGGCTCGTGAGCCCTGTCTGTTAGTATTGATTGCAATAGGTAAGTAAGATGTTACCTATGCATTCTCAATTAAATGTCTGCTTTCTTTACTTCTTTTTTTTTTTTTTGGTTTTTCAAGACAGGGTTTCTCTGTATTGCTTTGGGGACTGTCCTGGAACTCACAGATATCTGCCTGCCTCTGTCTCCCAAGTGCTGGGATTAAGGGCGTGAGCCACCAATGCCTGGCTTACATTCTTTACTTCTTAAAAGTGATTTGTATATACTAAATTATTCATCCTCTCTTCCTCAGGGATGTTTGCCCAAATCAAAATATAAATTCTTCATTGTCCAACTCTAAGTAATATTTATATGTTATTGTTTTGGGCATAGGTTCACAAGCCCCAAACCAAAAGCATTATTTTAAACATCTGCTGTTCTTTTAAATAATTTTATGTTGCCTTAAAATATATGTATAAAATATGTGAAGCAAGTTATATTTTATATACTTCCTCCTCGCATGTTTATTTATTTTAAATAATTTCCCATTTAAATAAAAAGCTACATAACTAAGAGTGGTGGCAATAAATGACTTTCTTTCAGTTGCTGGGCTTCAAGTTCAAAAAAGAGCTGGACTTTTCCATGTGATTCATAGATCTTCAAATAGTTTTATTTCTTTCAGCAACCTTCTGGAACCTCAGAAAGCGAAGAAATTTGTGCAATGAATTTAAGCACCTCCATAGACAGGAAGTTTATTGGATGATTTAATACAATGGTTTATGAAAATAACAAAAACTGTACTAAGAAATAAAAAGAGTAATCTTGAACAGTGAATTATTGACTATTTCCAATCTAAATATTATGTATCACAGGTCCACGGATGTGTCCTTAACTCTGAAAGATCCCCATTACCCTGACCATGACCTTGGAATCATTTTGCTGTCAGTCATCCTTACGCCTAAGGAAGGCGAACCCAGGGATGTGGTAAGTCTTCCGGAGCTCCTCTTGGTCCCACTTGCTCATGTGCTGAGAGCCTTCTCAGGGGATAGAGGGGTAACAGCCAGATGGAACTCTAGCCCACTCATGGTTGCTGTGAGTACCTGGGTAGCACTCATCCATGCTCATTTTGTCTTTTCGACTGAAATTTCCCAGCTCATAAACCAGATCAGAACCTCTTGTTGTAAATAAGAAGATTTATATCCGTTATAATTTTATTAATTGATTTCAGACATGTTTGATTGTCGGTAAATATTAGTATTCTTTCAGGGAACACATTGATTAGTGAATTGAATCTTTGGAATTCCCATGGAGATATCTACAACTCTACTATTTTGACTATATTGCCATTTGTCAAATGTGTCATGAGAAGGAAACTAAGGAGAAATTATAACGGAGGTAAATGTGTGCTCTTCTTGTTCTGGATGGGCTTCTGTGATACTTCTCACATCTCAGCACTGGCTGTCTGTACTTCCGTGCACACCATGCTGCTGTGAGAAATGAATAAAGGCTGCAGGAAGCTGTGACTTCCACACTGATGCAGTAACCTGAGGAGTGTCAGGTTGATCCCATCCGTGTGCTTGCCAGTGTACCTCTGTGATTCACCTTGGTCTGCTTGCCCGTGTAGCTCTGCCACAATTGCCAGATATTTTTTTTGGCTAGGCTCAATATTCGTATATGCCTATGAACTACTCTAGCTCTGATGTGATTTCATAGTAGCTATAATTGTTGGGTCTCCCCAAAAGACTCTTTCAGCAATGCCTATATTCCTTTTTAGAAATAATGTGCCATTCAAGTTAGTGTGTGTTATATATTAAAATATATTGCTGACATTTTAATCAAGATTCTGGCTAATAATAGTGTATCCCAACTTCAAATTTTTAAGTTTTTTCTTTAAACTCACCAAAGAAAATTCACCCTTTAAGAAGAATTTCTTTCTATTCACGAACATTAATCAATTGGCACACAAGGTCATGTGAATTATTTTAAGACTATTTACTGGGGAAACCATAATTTTTCAAATATTAACAAGTCTTACTACCTGACACCTGCTGTAAGAACATAGCATGGTGTGACTGCATACATTTGTGTGCAGATGGAGTTGTAGGCAAGGAGGAATGTGACATGGTGTGAATGAGTACACACAGCAGCTGCTGTGTGAACATGGTGTGAATGAGTACACACAGCACTGCTGTGAGAACATGGTGTGAATGAGTACACACAGCCCTCCTGTGAGGACACGGTGTGATGAGTACACACAGCCCTGCTGTGAGGACATGGTGTGATGAGGACACACAGCCCTGCTGTGAGGACATGGTGTGATGAGTACACACAGCCCTGCTGTGTGAACACGGTGTGATGAGTACACACAGCCCTGCTGTGAGGACACGGTGTGAGGAGTACACCCAGCCCTGCTGTGAGGACACGGTGTGATGAGTACACACAGCCCTGCTGTGAGGACATGGTGTGATGAGGACACACAGCCCTGCTGTGAGGACATGGTGTGAATGAGTACACACAGCCCTGCTGTGAGGACACGGTGTGGATGAGTACACACAGCCCTGCTGTGAGGACATGGTGTGAATGAGTACACACAGCCCTGCTGTGAGGACACGGTGTGATGAGTACACACAGCCCTGCTGTGAGGACATGGTGTGAATGAGTACACATAGCAGCTGCTGTGTGAACATGGTGTGAATGAGTACACACAGCCCTGCTGTGAGGACATGGTGTGATGAGGACACACAGCCCTGCTGTGAGGACACGGTGTGATGAGTACACACAGCCCTGCTGTGAGGACACGGTGTGATGAGTACACCCAGCCCTGCTGTGAGGACACGGTGTGATGAGTACACCCAGCCCTGCTGTGAGGACACGGTGTGAGGAGTACACCCAGCCCTGCTGTGAGGACACGGTGTGATGAGTACACACAGCCCTGCTGTGAGGACATGGTGTGATGAGGACACACAGCCCTGCTGTGAGGACATGGTGTGAATGAGTACACACAGCCCTGCTGTGAGGACACGGTGTGGATGAGTACACACAGCCCTGCTGTGAGGACATGGTGTGAATGAGTACACACAGCCCTGCTGTGAGGACACGGTGTGATGAGTACACACAGCCCTGCTGTGAGGACATGGTGTGAATGAGTATACATAGCAGCTGCTGTGTGAACATGGTGTGAATGAGTACACACAGCCCTGCTGTGAGGACATGGTGTGATGAGGACACACAGCCCTGCTGTGAGGACACGGTGTGATGAGTACACACAGCCCTGCTGTGAGGACACGGTGTGATGAGTACACACAGCCCTGCTGTGAGGACACGGTGTGATGAGTACACACAGCCCTGCTGTGAGAACATGGTGTGAATGAGTACACACAGCCCTGCTGTGAGGACACGGTGTGATGAGTACACACAGCCCTGCTGTGAGGACACGGTGTGATGAGTACACACAGCCCTGCTGTGAGAACATGGTGTGAATGAGTACACACAGCCCTGCTGTGAGGACATGGTGTGATGAGTACACACAGCCCTGCTGTGAGGACACGGTGTGATGAGTACACACAGCCCTGCTGTGAGGACACGGTGAGAATGAGTACACATAGCAGCTGCTGTGAGGACACGGTGTGATGAGTACACATAGCAGCTGCTGTGAGGACATGGTGTGATGAGGACACACAGCCCTGCTGTGAGGACACGGTGTGATGAGTACACACAGCCCTGCTGTGAGGACACGGTGTGAATGAGTACACATAGCAGCTGCTGTGAGGACACGGTGTGAATGAGTACACATAGCAGCTGCTGTGAGGACATGGTGTGATGAGTACACATAGCAGCTGCTGTGAGGACACGGTGTGAATGAGTACACATAGCAGCTGCTGTGAGGACATGGTGTGATGAGTACACCCAGCCCTGCTGTGAGGACATGGTGTGAATGAGTACACACAGCCCTGCTGTGAGGACATGGTGTGATGAGTACACACAGCCCTGCTGTGAGGACACGGTGTGAATGAGTACACACAGCCCTGCTGTGAGGACATGGTGTGGATGAGTACACACAGCCCTGCTGTGAGGACATGGTGTAGCTGTGTGAGTACTCACATGTCCAGATGGAGGGATAACTGTGAAAAGGCTTTCTCAAAGAATGTTGTCATTTACAGGGAAAGCCCATCAGCCAGAAGTCACCAGTAACAGAAACCAGGAAGTAAATTCTGGATGACTAGTCAATCATTGGTAGTACATTCTAAATGTTCATTTTGTACTTTATTTAAATAATTCAGATGATCACCAGAAGCCTACTGTAAGGAGGCGCCTATGCTGCCTCTTCAGATACATCAGCAGTTCACTGAGACAAACGAAGGTGACAACTAGCTTGGTGTTATGAAAGAAAGGCACATGCCTAGAATAAAACATTTGTTCCAATTAGTGTGGGCCTAGGATTCTCTAAGGAGTTCATGTGAAAACTGAGGTAGGAAGTATTGATAGGAATTAAAAAGAAACTAAACTCAAGGGAAGAAGTATCTGAGGTAGAAGAAGGAACACGCCCAAAGACGCTGTGACTAGAAATGTGAAGGAAATCAATGAGTAATAGAAAAGTTATTCATCAAAAACCCATTTAATTCATCTTCATTTCCTTCTCTTCACTGTTTATTTCTAGCTACAATCACCTTGGACATGAAGATTTTCTCCTTAAACCTAGCATGCTATTTCCATAACTCAAATTACTTTGACTATTTGTGTTTGAGCAATTTCCTTGCAGCCTGCATTCACTGCCTCACTCTGTGCCTTCTGCTTTCAGAGTCTCCATTTGTGCTGGATTATTCTGCTGCCCACATGGGAAATGGCGCATTCTTCCAGCCTGTTACTAATTCTCCTTGTCCGTCTTCTCTTCAGAGAAACAAATGTTTCAGGCAAAACTAAGCCAGGGCTCCAGAGCAACACCAAGGTCAGCCTCTGGATGGGACACTCCTGGACTTCTCATCCTGACCTTGGTCACACCCCGGGGGGAAGAGCAGAGTGTGTGCAATGGCAATCCTAGCTCATCCTCATGGTTGTGATCAACAGTGAGGCATGTACTTGGCAGTAGAGAACCAAAAGAGGGGAAGGACAAAAGCTAAAATAGAGAAAACAGAAAAGTCTACTGGGATCTGGCATTTCAGGTATTCTAATACCCTATATTACATTGAAATATGAGTTTTTAAATGTATCCCTATAAAAGCATAGAAATTTTTGAGATTTTGCTTTTTATTTGGCCTAAAGAATTGTTCTAGGGATACCTTATTGAGCTCTTTGTGTCTAGTTATATTTAGCAACAGGGCTTTCTAAGTTTTAAGATGCTGAAACAAATCATAGTGAAATAATTAGTAATCGGATACAAAGAGTCATATCTTTTACAGTAATGCAGATGGAACCAGACTTTAATGAAGATAAGGAACACATACTAATCCCACTCATGTTTAGAACCAAGTTATCTCATAAAACAGAATGGTGGTGATTCAGTTTGTGGGAGAGAAGGATGGGAAGGATTGGTCAACAAGAAAATGACAGTTTGAAGCAAGTACTTCTGATGTACTGGCACACAGTAGGGTCACTATAGCCATCAATAATGTGCTGCATATTTTAGAAGGCTAAGAGAAAGGAATTTAAAAATTTCCATCAAATGATAAATAGATATGCTGATTTGAACAACAATGTATATATGATATATAAACATCCCAGGGTTTATGTGTAGTTTGTATATGAATTAAAAATATTATTGCTTATCTACCAAATTTCTTTAAGTCCCTTATCTTTCTAACTGTTGAAATAACTGTTTCAACAGTAAGTGGAAACTCCCAGCTAACAGCTTTGCAACAAGGAGCATATGTTCTCTCACTTCTAGTCACATAAACTCCTGCATAGTTTGCCTCTCAGGTTCAATCTGCCATTGTGCTGTCTGTGTTGCCAAAACTTCACCTTACATACTTTCCTCTTGAGGAGTGGCGCATGTATACGATACATTTATTACATGTATATTGTAGTAATACATCTGTAAGTCTGCAAAATGGTTTTGTAATGGCATCTCTTAAAACCTAGTCTAGCATCCTCTGCCTAGTGGTTGTTCAGTGTCTTAGAGGTGTGTCTGTGATCATTTGAAGGAATGCTTCCAAGAACATGGGGATGTATTCTCATGTTATATTTATTCTAACTTTAATAGTCAAGCCATTGTGGTTGCTATAAAGTCCATTATGTAATGATTAAATAATGATCTAACTTCCTTTGGTAAATTCTTAAAATTAAGTGTTGTAATTTTTAACTGTTTTGTTCTTCTCATATTAGCAAAGTGTAGTCTGGGATACATTCTGAATGGAGAACATACCACTTCAGCGAAATTGGCATGCTGAACTTGCACAAATTACACAGGAACAACTCTTACTCAAAAAGAAATTTGGATTCAAATCCTGTAACTATCAGTGGTGGAAAGCTTCATAGTCTCTGCCACTGAGAATGATGTATAGCGAGGGAGTGGAGGCTGAATTTGCTCCTCCACACACAACATAAGAAGAAGGTTTCTGTTTGTTTAAGAGCTCAGAAATGACTTATCTGGGGCTTCTGGGACAGAGACTTTAGTTCAACCACTACACATTTTTATCTCTATTTATAAAACTTTGCTAAATATTTTACATGAATTCAAACAAAGGATGGGATGAGTTTCAAAAGCTTTAACAAATATGTCCTAACATTTGAGTAGGAAATGGAATACTTACAGTAAGGAAGAAATGGAAATGCAGCGTACTAAGTATCATAGAGCCCTAAGACCTCTAAACCAGCTGTTTTGTGAGTTCAGTATGCACCATTAGATGCTGACAATACATTCCATGAATAATGCAATTGACATGATTTCTTCTTGTGTGTATTGTCACTTCTGGAAATCAGTCACTCTGAAGAATAAGTTAAATAATCTACCAGCCCACTTACTAAAACCTTGACAACACATAACATTGAATTACAGCAATTTAAGATGTGTAGAAAGACTGCAAGCAAATGTATTTCACCGTTGCCAATATAAAATCTGCATTGAGTACATGATTGAGTATATTTTTAAAATTTCCAGATTTGGACAGATATGTGAACACCTATTTTTGAGTCTTCAGCATTGTGTGTACAAGAAGACAAAGCCTCCATGGGTGGCATGTGGCTGGCTGCCTGGCACACCTATCATTTCTGTTTAGACTGCATGTTCTGTTTTGAACCTGAAAAATTATGTCATACATACATCTGTGTCCTATACGTGGTATTTTTGTTTGACAGTGCATTTGAGTTCTTTCTGGCTCTTTTTCTAGCAGAGTTCAATACACAGCTTTCTTCATTGGAGAATTTGTGACATAAAAGTGAGTTAATTTGTGTTACACACTCTCTTAGATAACATAGAGTTAAGCATCCTTGGCTAAGGTTGAAAATTCCCAGAAACATATGAATTGATACTATGTTGCCTGTGTTGAGTTCAAAACAATTTTTATACTTTAACTTTGATATGTCTTATAACTTTCATACAATGTTTTAAGACATCTATTTATGAATCATTGAATGTATATGCTTTATAAGAAGTGTAAACTATCTATCTGTTCTGGGCTTTTTGTATGCATATTAGCAGAATAATATGCTAAAAATCATAACAAAAGGAAATTAAAATGTTTTAAAAGGATTTTAAAAGTTTTTAAAAGCAGTTGCATTTACAATTCTATCATTGACCATATTTTTCCATCACTTATTCCTGAATTTGGCTGCAAGGAACTTTGAATTGCTGATGAAGAACCTAAATATTGTTGTATTAATAAACACTGACACTTTAAAAACCTAATTCATATGTTTCTCAGCTGAAGTTACAACCATTGAGCAAAATTTAAATCTTTTATTTCTAGAATTTACTTTGTTTTTTAATCTTTAACTTTCCCCCAAACAACCTTTCTTCTTTAATAGATCTCATAGTTAGCAAATATATCAATACTTCATGTACTGAGTTCATTTTTTTAAACTTTTCTACTGAATTACTGTAATTGAGCCTTCTTTAACCCAAGTACCAAGAAAAGGAAAAAGAATTTTTGTCTGGGGTATTTCATCAGTTGATAAGCTAATAAGTTTGACTAATGAGGCAGAATATTTGTTATAAAATTTGGGGCCATTTTGACAGTCTACAACAGATCTGCAGCAGAATTTCTGATAGTGATTCAGGAGAATGAACTGGCCCTGTAACTACCAAATTATGACTGTTTCCCTTGTATCAGCTTCCCAGTTTGAAAAATACAACCAAAATTTGAGAGACATGGAAAAAGCCAGAGTTGTATTTTGTTCTGTTTCTTATATCAGAAGTGAATTGTGTGCACTGTTTCTGTTGCTCTGTGCAGAAGCATGTGTCCCTAAATGTTGTCAAGTGTTGCCAAGACAGTCCACCCTTCTTAATGTTCTCACCCTGCTTTCATAGCCTAACACCTCTTGCACAATCAATTCTATAGAATCCTTAGATGGTTAATGATGTTGATAAATGACCACCAGTTAAGGTGTTTTGATCTTTTTTTTTTTCTACTTGGTTTTACTTGTTTTGGCTCAAAATGCTGTCTCTAAAAATTGACATGATCAAATACATTGAGACTCTGTTTTCTGACAAAGTCAAACCTTTGTTATTGGACTCTTGACTGAGGAGCTCTTGTATGGTTATCTACTGAAGAATTTGGTTACACATGACCTTTGGTGATATGGAGGATGTGATCATGTTATTGTTGTTGGTGATGACAATCACACACCTAACATCAATAGTCTTTTAGGTGTCCACCATGTCTGTTTCTCCAACCTACTAATTGGATGTATCGTTTCAGAATGAATTGGACCTTAGTACTTAGAAAATATAGACTATCTCTTTTGTAGTATTTGATAACAATGATTTGTTGTTTCCCAATTTTACTTGAAAATCAGGGAAGTGGATTTTTATAATCTTTGGAAATGTTTGGGCCAACGGAGTAATTAAAAGCAGCATAGTACTATCTTTGGGAATGTTACCATTATATTTCCTACTCTAAAGTTGCTACATAGTTTCATTTCTCTTTCAGGTCAAAGAATGGCTTAATCTTATGTGAAGTACTTTCTGTCCTGTAGTTTCATGAGGGATGAGTGTATGAGTGTTTCTAGAATGAATCTTCTTCATCGTGAGCTCTGATGAAGGAGATGGAGCTCGTATCATTGATGTAGTTCCCTAACACAGACACTCTAAGCTTCTATTGAAACCACAAAATCCCCCAAACATCCTCCACTTTCCTCTTCATCTGCCCTAAGGACAACCCTAAGACATGGTAGGGCAAAGAGGAAGGTCTACATGTAGGTGCTTCAGGGAAATGTTTAATAGTAAATAGGAGAATTATTTAAATTTAGGGCTCTTTATGTTTTGCTTCCTGCAAATGCAAGCGACCAATGGTCTTAAGCACTTGTAACAAATCTTCAGAAGCTTAATTAAAACATTTAGCCAAGCTAACCTCTGACTGTGACATAAAGAGAATAGTACAAAGGATACATTTTAGTAAAAAACCAACTAAGCAGTGTTTATTTTTCTGAGTTGGGAACTTTGTAGACAATGATACAGTTAAAAAATAACTAAATGGATAAATATTTCCACAATGTGACAAAGCAACTGACTTTAGATGTAGGTTGAAGAAAAAAAATACTATATACCCAGCTAAGTCACGTATACCCTCAACCTGCACCTCCAAAATGGAAAACCATGAAACTCAATTTGTACTTTTCATTTAAAATTAACTAACTCCGAATATTTCATTATATTTGAAATACACTGTCTCACCTCTTCATACAAATTCATACAAAGAATAATGCAAGTGATCTCTCAGCAGAAACTGAACGTTAAAGATTCTCTCTCCTCTCTCTCACTCTCTCCCTCCACTCTCCCTCCATTTACTTTCCCCCACCCCACCGTGTGTGTGTGTGTGTGCGTGCGTGCGTGCGTGCGTGTGAGTATGTGTGTGTCTGTGTCTGTGTGTGAAGCCGTCTTGTGTTGCTGGAAACTTTTTGCTATTTAAAGGGCTAATAAATGTTACATGTCCCCTAACACACAATGGCTGCGCTGCTCTGTACTGGATGCAGATAATGAAGTGCTTTATTTCGTTTACAGACAGTGCTAATGAGGAAGAGTTGGAAAAGATCCAGTAAGGTAACTCTTAGCATGCAATCTGCAGCTTTCTTTGTTGAGAAGACTATTAGCCGCATTCTCAGATTCCTCTCATCTCCGTCAGAGCTGTGCCACAAATTTTCATCACTGCCAATCCCTCCCCCCCATAATCTTTAAGCCAATCGTGTGACACTTTCGAAATCAGTAGAAATCTTGCTGTTGCAGAACACCCAGACCATTTTCTTGCTGCTCTTCTGTCACTTCTCAGCTTCATTCTCCGCATCCGGTCTCCACTATGCACCACAGGGTCTACAAAATCACGCTGTTCCAGGATGAAAGTGATGAGACTGGGGCAGAGACAACTCCAGACAAGTGGCCATGGACTTTCTGGTTTTGTTCCCAAGTCCTGTGTCATTTCAGTTTGAGGATAGTCCTTCCTCGGTACCTCATCTCACTTCCAGAGTAAGAGGAGTGGTGATGCCAGAAATGCGCTGAGCTTTCCATATACCTTATGGATATGTAAGACACATAGCATCTTTGGTGATGTTAGTATTTTTGGTGGTGGCAAAAGTTAACTATCATTAACTTTTTATATGACTGCACTTTGAAACAAATTAAGCAGATTTCCTTGGTAAAAATGACATTTACGCAAATTTCTACTTAAAAGGCCAATATTGCTTTTAATAAGTCTGATTTTTTTAGACCCTGGAACACTGGCAATCTTTCTTCGTCCATTCTGTTCAAATCATGCTGTTCTTTAAGTTATTACTAACTTCATCATTTTCCTTTTACTGGGAATTAAGAAAATATGTATAATAAGTATTGTTTTATCTTACTTCTCTTATGCAGTTTGTTACTCTACAGGTTTTTTTTGGGGGGGGAGTGTTGAAATGGGATCTCTCTGTAGCTTTGGAGCCTGTCGTGGAATTCACACTGTAGACCAGGCTGTCCTCTAACTCACAGAGATTAGCCTACCTCTGCCTCCCAAGTGCTGTGATTAAAGGTGTGAGCCACCACTGCCCAGCTAAAATTTTATTTATTCATTCTATTTTTTTGAGACAGGGTTTCTCTGTGTAGCTTTGGAGCATGTTCTGCAACTTTCACTGTAGACCAGGCTGGCCTCGAACTCACAGATATCCACCTGCCTCCAGAGTGTTGGGTACTCTCCTGTTCTTACACTTCTGACAGCCAAGAGACAACTCACTGAAAGACCATCATCCAGTAAGCACATACTGGAGAAAGTCAAGTGTCCACTCTGGTTTCACAAACAAAATAAGGCTTCAGAGACTTTTTAAAGAAATGGTTGAGTTGTTTATCTTTGTAACTACTTTAGAATTAATACTATATTAGGTGTGTTGATTTCAAAATGTACATAAGACTTTCCCCATCCTGTGACTCTATGATGATATTTTTTTGTAAAAATCTAACCCGTGAATAGTTAACAATATTTATCTTCCAAGCCGGGCGTTGGTGGTGCATGCCTTTAATCCCAGCATTCGGGAGGCAGAGGTAGGTGGATCTCTGTGAGTTCGAGGCCAGCCTGGTCTCCAGAACGAGTTCCAAGACAGCCTCCAAAACAATACAGAGAAACCCTGTCTCGAAAAACCAAAAAAAAAATTTATCTTCCAGATGAGTTTAACTAGAGCTGATTATTGCATTAACTAATACAAATAATCTATTTTATTGAAATATAAATGAGAATAGAAGTATCATTTTGACTATGTATATTGAAAGACATTTAAGCCCTGAAGCCCCAGAACTTAAGGGGTTAAGGGGAGAGACTTAAAGGATAGACCTGGCTGCAGAGAAAAAAATACTCAAATATATATTCAGATTGAGAGATGGCAAATCAATTTTATAGGACTTTTAATTGTTTAAATTAATCTTAATGATAAAGTAAAAATAAATCCACATAATTTCCTTGAACCTACAACAATTTAAATGAATAACAAATATATTATTTCCATTATGTATATATATAAAATTGTTGAAACTTTGCCACTGTAGATGCAAAATGCCTGTGTCTAATTCAGCACTCACTTGAGCAGTTGACAGATTATATTTAGTACAGGTGCTAATGTTAGACTAAGGGATTTTTCAATTTGGTACATTTTCATGGAGATGCTAAGTGCCAAGTGAGTTAAAATAGGTTCACCGATTTTGTTTTTTCTATGAGAACAAAATGAGCACTTGTTAATTCATTCATATTTTTACTATGTTTAAAAGCACTGTATTCACCAGATAGTGTTATATTTTTAAAATCCATGGAAATTTCCACATTTCTAATTATTACCTACTTCGCTGGTCTTCACCCCCTTCCCCAGGTTGACGTGTTTCTGATTCTTTTCCTCCAAGGCACCTGCGTCTAAGAACTAAGGGATGAGCGAGCAGGCTGTGTGTGTTTAGGGTGCACCGCTGAGTCCCTGCAACATTCCCTCTGCACTCTACCCTTGCAACTATATCATAATGAGGAGAATTCTTCCCTTGATTTTAGAAAGAATATGCTTGAATCGTAATTGAACACGAGCACTGGTATTTTTAGTAGCTGTGCTTATATTATTCAGCTATGCTCACCACTGGATGTTCCTATAGACACAAATACTTTTCTTCTCTGGAGTCAGAGCTTACAGGAATGAAATCTGTCATCTTCATGGCAGGACTTCAATATGATGCTTGTCTTTGAGCACCAAGGGAGAAAATAAAATCCAAGAATCAAGACCTTCCTAGTAAAGGATTGGGCCTTTTCTTGCTGGTCTTGATTTCCTTCAGAAGTAATCTAAGTACATAGAGGAGAGTTACTACATTGATGGTCCTTTTGAAACATGAACATCTCTCTTGCACATAAGATGAAATAACTCATAAATTTCCTGTTTGTCACTTCACTATCTTTACTTTATGTGATAAGGTTTTTGTTTTTGTTTGTTTGTTTTTCGACACAGGGTTTCTCCATGTAGCCTTGGCTGTCCTGGAACTCACTCTGTAGACCAGCCTAGCCTCGAACTCACAGAGATCTGCCATGCCTCTGCCTCCCAAATCCTGGGACTAAAGGCATGCACCACAACCACCTAGCTTGTGATAAGGTTTTTTATTAATATTTTATTCATGTTATTCGACTTCTGCCAATAATAGGTTCTCTCAAGGAAATATTTTTTGGACTCACTTTCTATGAGACAGTGTATACTATTGAAATAATAGAACAGTTATCCAGAGGACAGGGGCATCATAAATGTTATTCAAGTCACTTTATTATTGTAAGTACATTTTAAGAAGTAGGAAAAATGCACACACACACACATATCTGTGAATAGTAAGATGTAGAAATATGGACTAGATTTCAAGCGCGTGCAAATCAGAAGATAGTAAATTCCACACTATCTCCTCTTTTGGGTGTAGTAGCATTCATGAGTATCCTTGTTATGGTTGCCAACTAACTACACTTTCCATGATCTACACTTTAATTCCTTTCTCACACTTATGTGTAATAGAAGAGTGTTATTTTAAGAAGGAAAGAAAATCAGTGCCTACCCAAACTCAAACAACTAGTTAATTAATACATTTTGGCAGAGAAATTATGGTGCTTTGAGTTATTTCAATATTTTATTCTTTAGAAAAAGACTATTATTTATAATTTATTTAAAGCTAAATTATTCATCAAGAAAATTCCATGAGCTCAAACGAGATTTATATATATATGTATATGCATATATGCACACACATATATAAAGCAAATTTATATATAATATATTGAATTTATATATAGTGTATATCATATATAGTGAATTCATTTTTATATATGTAATGAATAAATTTTAGGGGGACAAAACAAAAATAGAAATTAAATAATTGTCTTGGTTGGCTGGTTTGGAGTTTATTCAGTGCTGCATATGCCTGTGTCTAACCCAGAGGAGAATTTATCTGTGGTTATGATGAGTAATAATAAACAAGTTACAGTCGGGCGTTGGTGGTGCACGCCTTTAATCCCAGCACTCGGGAGGCAGAGGCAGGCGGATCTCTGTGAATTCGAGGCCAGGCTGGACTGACAGCCTCCAAAACAATACAGAGAAACCCCGTCTCGTAAAACCAAAAAATATATATATATATATAATAATAAACAAGTTACTACTAAGCTTATTGGTAGATGAGGCAGAACCATGGTTTCAAATCTGCCTGCAGCATATAGTGATAATTTACCTTACATAAAATAATAAACATTATTATACGTTTCAATAGATTACTTAAATTATCTGAAAAGTGATATTGCAGGCAGCCTCACCTCCAGCTGAAATGCTACTGGCACTTGGTGACTTCTGAGCGAGATTCACTTTTCATCACAGGTGTGCCTTTTGCTAGGTTGCTCATGCCCTGGTGCAATAGGCAAACACTAATTGGAGTCTGTGAGATAGTAATTAAAGACAGAGCACACAAAGTTGGGGGAAAGATGTGCTGGGGAGCTTCTGGAGGCAGCTGGAAGGCAGGTCGACAGGGAGGGTTGGTGAGGACTAAAATATGCTGTATGCAAGTGGGAAATTTTCAAATAGCAAATCAAAAGATTATCTTAAATAAGAAAATGTTATTGTAATCGTATAGAGATATGCTTGTGAAGATCCTAAGTATAACAATTTTAATTGTTTTCTTTATCATTCTGTCCTATTAATAATATAATGTAGATTATTGTGGCGGTATCTCATTACTAGATCTTCTGTTATTTGACAGCCTACATCTCTTTTAGCAATACACCTTCTGATAAAGATTTTATTATAATCACTTAGCATGACGTTAATGAAATATGAAACACTTTACCCATTGGCAGAATGAAGCAATTTTAATAAGACTTCGGGCAAAGTTATCGTTAATTTAAACTAGGGAACACTGAGCTCTGTAAGACTCCAGGGCATAGTTAAACTGGCACCTTGAATGACACATTAAAAATGCATCAATGACTTGTAAATGCTTTAAGTAAGGGAACAAAAACAGATGGCCACGTTTTTGAGTGTCGCACATAGTCAGACATGAAAAAGATATCAGTTAGCAGTTATTGGGTC